CATCTTCGTTCAAGGCAAGGAACATTTGACCCCAATGTTACATACAGTAGCTCTAGCTAAGGCTGCCAGCGGTCTAGATAAGACGCAGCAGCGCAGGACTCTCAATCAATTGAGATAAGCTATGACTCTCCAACAAGGACTACTTACCAGGGCAGCAACAACAACCCAGCCCTTAAGACAAAGTCTATGGCCAGAACTCAGAAGGCGGCGGAAGATCGTCGAAAGCGAGTAGCTAAGACCCTGGGGAAAGCATCCAAAGAACAAGGTAGAAAGAAAGACAGGATGGCGTTGAAAGTTTATAAGCCAAGCCAAAGGACGGCGACAAGGAAGATGGCAGCCATTAAGAAGAAGATTGCCAATATACTGAAAGACAGACTGAAGTAAGGAATGCAAGCCCCAGAACCAGGAAAGTGACGGTGGAGAGGAAAGCTCAAAAAAGAGAATGAGTGCACGAATGTAACGCAATACGTATTATGAAAGGTAGGTATAGTTGAAGGGTTGGTTGTTGCATAAAGCCTCGATAAAGTCTCTTACAGAGAGTCAGTCGTCTTAATCCCTCCATACTATGTTCTGAGTTTACCCAACTATGACTTAACGAGAGTCGAGACAACCTTGTCTTCTCTTCGGGTGTGCTTCATCTCATATATATGCCCGCTTCGTAATTGAATGTCAGTCTTTCATTGGGTGTCTGATGAGACCAGAGTCGAACCTAACCGTTGAGCCCGAGGGTTGTGTATGTACCCCACTGGGTAGAACAAAGGGTCGTAGTTAAGTATACAAGGCTCGAGCGAGGGTAGAAGGCTCAGCGAGGAAGGGTGGCAAAGGAAACCCATAATTAGAATGTGGGTATCCAGACTCGAGAAAGTAGGAAAAGCCATTCCAGGAAGATCGATAACAGAAGACCGGATAAGATTGAAGTATGAGCGCAAGCTTTTAGACTGCTGCGAAAGCGAGCCAGCAGCTGGAGGATTAGAAAGGTAGGCCAGTCGAATGAGGGAGAGCCAAGCCAGAGTCTCAATAATCAGACTACGTCTTAAAAAGGATGGAAGGAAGGGTGGTGGATCCTGTGCGACCATTAAATTCGTTGTCATTCCAGTACATAGAAAGACGCTGGAAGTCATTCCGTTCGTTTCTTTCTCCCATTATTTCAATGCCCGGTTAGAACAGCTAAGCCCACCTAAATTCTATTTGTATATATTAGAAAGTCTGCACGTTACCTTTATCGTTTGCCATTTAAGGGGGAGGGAGTCATGGAGCTCTGAGTCGACGAGAAGAAACTATTCCCTCTCTGTCCCAATACCTTACTTATTACCTCCGAAAGAAAATGCTGTTAGATAAAACTTGATTTTTTTTCCTTATTTAGATTCACACGATTACATTAATTCCCCGTTTGACCATTTGACAAACACGTCGAATGGATTAACTAAGTTTTAGACGACAATTTTGTAGGAAGTGGCACAGATTCAGTTGCCACTCTCCAGCCATTTTTAGGATAGGTTATATTTAAATAGGAAATCTGTTCAGAAGATTTCACAACCTGATTTTAAGCACAGTCAAAATTTCAATCATTCTCTCTCCTTGTTCTTTTAAGCATTTTATTTTTCTTCCAACAACCTCCTGTCGACAATTTCCTCTCACCGAAAAGAAAGGATTTCCCTGGCCGATTATCAAAGTTCAACAAATGCTAATGCCAACTATGCTATACTATCAGTAGCTAAATGAGAAAGCCTCTCCCTGCAGGCCAACGAAAGCTGTCAATTGTGGACATGACTACTATTTAGCTAGGGGAAACTCACTGTCTAAGATAGTGGTCGTCCAAAAGAGGGAATAAAGAGTAGGAAAGGTCTGGAGATTCTTTCCTATATGTAGTACTCTCCGATTCTCTTTCATCATCTTTTTGCACTTTCTTTGTGGTACCTTTTTGTTGTCCTTCATTTTGAGTAATCATTCCGCTTTTCTTTCTTATTACTTTGTCTTGACTTATCTTGGTGAATCAACCAGAACCCAATGAGTAATGCGGGTCTTCGTTCAACTATTTCACGGGACTTTTAGGTAAGATGAAAAGCAGCAAGCCCATAGCATAGAAAGTTGTAGCTCAGTCTATCTTTCTGCCCAGAATGAATGCCCAACGGAACCTACTCCACTGAATCTAGGTACTTTCTCTTGGCATAACAACAATTGCTTAACGAACTCATGTATCTCAGGCTATCAGATCGATTTGCTTCAGTGAGAAATTTGGCCGAAAAGTGCTTGAAGCTGAAGTTCTTGTACCCTATTTGAAAATTGTAGGATAGCAGACCCATATGAGTCCAACGATTTTCGCTGAACTGAACCGTCAAAGCCAGGCCAAAAATAGGAGTCAATCAAATAAGGAGTACTGATTTTGTAGATGTACAAAGAAAGTTGCAGCTGATGATCGAGATTATTCCGAAGAAAGCCTGAGGGCACTATTCCTAGGAGCTCTTGCACATGATCTTTTGACTCTGCTTCCTTCCTTATTTCACTGATGCTTTAGGGACAACCTATTTCATGGGTTTCTCACCCTCGAGTACAGAGCTCTTTCCTTTCGGATCTTGCTTTCACCCCCTAACATTGAAGTGAAAACTGAGATTCGTAGTCTACTTTGCTTTCAATGCGCATTTTTAGCCTAGTATGTAGACGGAATCGCTTTCCAATTAAGAGGAGTGAGTTACTCTGTCATTAGCTAGCCCTCAGAGTCCCTTTGTTTTGTCTAGCCCAGCTTTCTCAGATGATTTCCTCTAGGATGCCGGAAAGAGATCGAAGCTCTCTCTTGTGACGATGGTTGGAGTTTACGTCAGTCAAAGTGACTTTTTTGAAAGGCAAATAAGAAATGTTCAGACCTTCGCTTGATTTAGTCTATGGGAAAAGACAAAACGAGGATGATCGTCTGACTGTACTCGATCCTTTCTTATCTGGTTTCAAACTTTCTTGAAAGGGGCCAGCTTATCTGGTTTTTTAAGTGCATTTAATCAATCGATCCTTGATTTACGTGTGTAGGATGATCCCCTCTTGTTCAGGGATCATTTTCAAAAGTCGAAGGCAAACAATCAAAGAAACCGGACTAGCGGCTGAAAAAAGCGAAAAAACAAAGAGGGCGGAAGTCGTTGGATTGTTCGCTTTGAGAGGATGCCTTTTTTATCCTTATGTGGTACTGGCTATACTTTGATTACTTTAGTTTTCCATCTTTCTTTGATTATCAGCCTTTTTCTTTGAATCAATCTTCAAACCACTAGATCTTGCTGAAGAAAGTAAGAAAGAAGTCGCACAATCTTGTAATCATTTATTTGTCCAAGATTTGAGTCAAATCTACCTTCCCTTTATTCTGATTTTTGTCACTGCACACTTTCTGTTCAAAACCCTCGTCCGAGCCTGGTCTTGACTCTGATGTGTGGTATTCATTCTTGTTCGGCTCTTGGGTCCAAAAGCTTCTTCTTCTTTCGCCACAGACTTTTTTCAATAAGTTTCGATTGAGTTAATGCCTTTGTCAAAGAATAAGAAAGAATAGACTCTACTCGAAGATGGCACTAGGAGTTGTCTAATCGCCCAGTCCTAAACTCTTCTTCCTAGGGCCGGCCTGGAATTATGTTCGGAAAAAAACGGAGTGACAACTGTCCACCCCCGCTACGAAGAATTGTCCCACTATTTTTCCCCTTCTTTGTTTTCTTCTTTGTTGGATCGTAACTTAGCGCGAGCAAATCTTCGTTAGAGCGTGCCCAAAATCTAATTCCAAAGCTTTCTTCACACTTGCTTCATAGAAGGACACCTTTCCATGTTCAGAGAGTCAACTCTGTCCACTCCAATTCCATTTCTATTGGCGAGAGAAAGAGCAGAGGCACGAACAAATCTATGAAAGACGTCATATTTGTGGGGATTTTAGTAGGATTTATTCTCATGATGTAGAAATAAGAGCAGGTTCAACAATCACTCACGTCACGAGCTGGCCTCAAGACAATTCCTGCGAAACTCTTTCCTCTACGCTTCTTGTTCTTTTCTTCGATAAAAAACTCTTTGGAGAGAATTCCCCTTACTCGACTTCCATTCTTGATCCACTCACAAATCTCTTCTTCTTTCTTAAACTAGTGAGAGTTAGCTGCACAACAATTTGCTCATTTGCTGAATGAGACTGAAACCATCTTTCTTCGATCGGGGAATAAGCTAGCCGAAAAAGAATGAATTATTCCATTTGTCTTGTGTATAGGTAGGAAGGAGGAATAAATCAATCAAATTTCGAGAGGCTGAATTCAGTGGTTCTTTAGGATCCCGGAGAAGATCTTGTGGGACAAGGGAACATCCAGGTACTTGATTATCAAAATCAAAATAGTCTCGTCCGTCGGGTTTAAACCAATAGAATTGAATAAACTGGGAGTAGGAAACGGGCCACGATTTGGAACGAGGACGATGTCGATAAAGCTCAAACAGTTGAGGATGAGTATTTATGGGAAAAAGATTAACAGAATTAGGGTTCCATTTTGACTAATCCAAAATAGCATCAAAGTGAAAAACAGATATAGAAGCCAAAAGTCTGCAAAACTCTAACCTCAGATTCTGCATCCCTCTCTCCTGTGGTATTTCATCACAATTCAAATGTCCGGGCCGTGTCTCAGACCCAGTCTGGCCCTTTATCTTAACTGAAAGGGGCAAAGAATACTTACCTTATAGACAAAAGCATATTCATTCACTCTTGAAGAAGAACCACACAAAATTCTCTTTCTTCATCCCCCGCCTCAGGAATTGGCATTTGATTCTTGTGCACACTGTTTTTCAGCCAAAAGACTGATTTGTTCATATTCGATTTCAGATTGTGGCTACGACTTTCCAGAGGAAGGGCTTTTCTAGTTTCCTGATTTTCCGTCAAGATGGGGTTGGTGTGAAAGCCTCAGTACAAGATCGAAAAGAATGCTACGTATTCCAAGTGAGATGCCCAAGATAAAAGGAACGAGGGGAAGAATCTACGGGGAATCCATAACATCAAATCGTGAATCAAAAAGCGTGACGATCATTATTCTCAACCCGAGATGTTAGAAGGTGCAAAATCAATGGGTGCCGGAGCTGCTACAATTGCTTCACCGGGAGCTGCTGTCGGTATTGGAAACGTGTTCAGTTCTTTGATCCATTCCGTGGCGAGAAATCCCTCATTGGCTAAACAATCATTTGGTTATGCCATTTTGGGCTTTGCTCTAACAGAAGCTATTGCATTGTTTGCTCCAATGATGGCCTTTTTGATCTCATTCGTATTCCGATCGAAGAAGGGTTCAGTCTCATAAAGCAAGACCTCTTTCACATAAAAAAGTGGGTGGAGGCGGGCTTGGGTACGACGATTTAACTAAAACGATTCCACATGAAAGAGGACCGGACAATAGCCTTCATCGAGTAATGGGCTAGTCCCCGAAAATGTCGTCTGACTTTGGGGCTGAGAATGAACCTTGTCTTGTGACTCATTCCTTCGGTCGAGCGTTCTTCGGACGTCGATCAATCTATCACAGGCCACTCTATCATTGTCTAATTTTTTGTTGTTTGATCACAAAAGAAATTATGTATCTAGTTATCATCTTTTTGTCCCTGCTCGGTAGTTCCGTAGCTGGTTTTTTTTGGACGTTTTCTAGGATTAGAAGGAACCGCTATAATCACCACTACGTGCGTCTCATTCTCCTCCATCTTCTCTATTCTTGCTTTTTCTGAAGTCGCACTGGGAGCAAGAAAAGAGAAAACACTGTTGGTTTCACTAGAAAACCTGTTGGATACGTTCCTGTGATGATATGACTAAGGTACGTTCACGTAACGATATGACTTTGATAGGTATAAGAACGTTAAGGCTATGATACGTTAGAGAATGATATGACCATGAAGTGTTTACGATACGACATGTTTACGATACGATATATTGTGATGTGAGGTGTAATGTTTAGATTGTTTTGTGTGACCATGGAAGTAATTGTTGAATGAATTGCACATTATGAAATGACATGTTAAAAGCATGGAGCGTTATGTTATGTTTTCTAAATTGTATGTATACAACATGTTATGAATGACATGATATCACGATAAATGAAATGAAATGTAACCTCGCTAGGATTATGTATTTCACGTAGAGTGAAAAATGAGAAACGTAATGTTAAGCACGGAAGATGATAGCGGGGTTATATTCATTCATGACAAAAGTAGAAATGTTGGAGACCTCATGCATTATGTGTGCTCCTGCATTTAAGGGGATACCCCTATTCCATCACTAGGGTACGGACGCGTACATCCAATGGCGAGACAACGATCGTTATGTTTTGCATAGCGGTGCCGTGACGGTTACTAGTTCTAATGGGTGTCCGGCCTAAAGAGCTTCTAGAGTATGCTCGCCCGACAAGGAAAGTGGCCCAACAGTGTGCGAACTGACTAGTGAGCCCATACTCGCATGTATGGGCTGTGTGTAGAGTATATAGTACACGTATAAATTACCTGTTAGGACAATGCCGTAGGAAAATAGATTGAAAGGATAGGTCCCGTCATTGCATTAGCATGTTCTTGCATTTAACCCCAATAGTGGGGTCACTTATTGAGTATTTCTTTAAATACTCAAGCCATGTGCTACTAAATTTTTCAGGTTAAGGCAAGGAATTCCTTTATGGCTGACGACGGCATCGCAACTCAAGACCATGACACATGCATGGGATAGTGGTATTTATTTTCTTAGACTTAGGCTAGAATAGGATGTTTTTAACTTAAATGCTTATTTATTTTATTTAGTCTTTTGTTGTGTCGTTTTAAAGATGTTTTTAATGTTATAATTTGGTCGGGTTTCGAGCTTCTAATTGCAACGACTCATACCCAAGATTCAAAATTTGAATTTGGTACTAAATGGCCCTAGCATTCTCGTGACAATATGGTCAGGTTACTTACTCCTCGCTTCTAAGAGTAAAAACTATCAACACAAATAAACCAACATGAGTCCTTCTAACACGTTTTGTCCTCAACTACATGTGTAACAACCTAAAATAATGATAATATGTATTTTGTATTTATGTGTTGTGTTTGATGATGATAATAATAATAATAATAATAATAATAATAATAATAATAATAATAATAATAATGATAATAATAGTAATAAATAAATAAATAAATAAATAAAAAACGAAGCAGCTGCGTCAAGCAGCTGCTGTAAAGGGGGATGAGGGGCGGCGGACGCGTAGCTGGAGGCGTGGGATGGATGAGTGGATGATTAGAGGATGTGGAAGCGTATTAGGGCTTGATTAGGCTTTAAAAAGGAAGAAAAATGAAGAATGGTGATTAACGAAAAACCCAGAAAAACAGAGGAGGAAATTTTTGAGAATTCGAGTTTTGGTTGCTTAAAATTGGACATCAATCGAGGGTAAAGGAAGAGGGGTTGTTGCTGAGGAATCATTTGAGGAAGGGGATACGGCCACGAGCTGAATCGGACGGTGATTCGAAGGTAACGAAAAACCCATATCACCGAACCTTTAAATCTCGATATCTTGATTCATACTGCATAATAAGTTATGAAATAAGGCTTGTTAGAACCGTAGTTAGAAGATCAATAAAGTTGTAGAAGAAATCAGAACGAAATTCGAGCTGTAGAGATGAAATTTTTGCTTCGGGACACAACGGGTATTAAAGGAAAAGATTTGGAAAAATTGCAGGGAGGAGAGGTTGAAGACGAGCGCGTGAAGGACACGCGAGGCGCGTGGGAGGCCGCGAGTGGAAGTGCGATTGTGCTCGGATCAGGCGCGTGAGAAACGAACCCCGACCTTGTGTTGGACGTGAGGGCGCGTGAGAAGGTATTTTGGCTCCCGGTTTGTCCCGTTCAACTCCTTTTGACCTGTCCTATCAAAATTGGTCTATACTTATGTTGAAATTGATAAAATATAGGTCTAATAGGAAGGAATTGTGTTGAAATACTATTAAACGTACATACAAGGGGGAAAAGGAGTTCGCAACCAAGTAAGTAGCGTATCGACCTTTGAACTAGTTCTTAACTTGTTTTACAACATGTGAGTATGTTGTTTACCTGATTAAGAGCTTAATATGTTATGATGAGCTTTGATGATATTTAGTGTTTATTGTATATTGTGACTGCTTGCCTGCGATGTAAGCATGATATAAATGATTGTCAGAATGTTCTATGTGTTGATCATGATATATGTATGAAAGCATGCAGTAACTGTGAGTATGTTATGCATGTTAATGGAAAGGTTATGACTCTAGATATGTTTATTGGTTGTTGAGCTATGGCTTATTTATATGAGTATGATAGTCTACTAATTCCCGCGGAGTTCCTAGCCAACGCGCTGTGTGCTAAGTCAGGGAGCATGAGTACTCCTGACCGTTGGTATATGAGATAAACAGGCCGCCAGAGCAATTAGTAGACGGGCCGTATTTGACCGAGAGCGAGTCTTACATACGTGTCCAAAAATTTTAGATAAGCATATCGAAGGAGAGTCAGTAACCTAGCTGGAGGTAGCTGAGATACCTCATTAACGAACAGATGACCCTAGTAAGAGAACTAGGAGTCCGTGGTGAATAAAACGTAAAAACACCTGGAAAGATTAGTTATGAACCCGTGAATGATAAGCTAGCTACTTACTGAGTAATCTAATTACTCATCAGAATTATTATAACTTTTCTTTCCAGATGTAGATGCTGCAGGCCAGCCGAGGACGAGACCAGCGGGCTAGAGACTACTGGGAATCCATGTCTGAGTCTGTTATGTAATTATGTTTTCGTTGTCAAGAGTTTACCATAGTCGTTTTAAGTTTTTTTAAAAGTACTGTTTTTTTAAATATTTTACTGGATGTTTTTAGAAATATTTTGAATTTTATGATTGGATATCAGAGTCTCTTAATATTGTCGATGGTAACTCCTGTTAATCGCGTTGACGATGAGCGGGTGTTACAAGTTGGTATCAGAGCCTAGGTTATAGGTTCTGTAAACAGTCTAGAATAGACAGTATGGATTCCTTTAGTCCAGCTCAGCGGTATCTCGCCTCGGTTAGGTAAGTGATGTATGATTAAATTGTATGAAAGAATAGTATGAAAAGTTTAAAAGAATTGATGATGACCACTTAATTATGTATGTGACAGATATGGTCGTATTTAAGAATTTAGACCCTGGTACGTTCAATGTGGACTTGGGAAATGAGGGGCAGCCTGTAGAGGGAACTGCTCCAGTAGAGGCGGTTTTGGAGCCTGCTGCTCAGTCGACATCTAGAGATTAGCCGACTGTTGTGATTACTTTGGAGGCATTACAATCATTGATTGAGAGTCGAGTAGATCAGGCGATGCAGAGCCGGGTGGACCAAGCGGTACAGGCAGCCCTTGCTGGTCTTGGAAGCCAGGCGGCTCCAACAGCACCTGTATTGGGCCAGACGACATTAGTGTCTGAAGCACCAGGAGTAGGTGTTCAGACAGTAATACCTCCAACACGATTGACAGAGCTACCTGGTACAGCTGTGGTGACAGAGGCACCATCGCGGGTAGTAACTTATGGCTGACGATGTATGACAGAGGAGAGTGAGTACATACGAGATTTCATGAAACTTGCCCCACCAACTTTTGGAGGAAAAGGGACTGATCCTGAGGCAGCTGAATGGTGGATGGAATGTATTGAAACAAAGTTTACATTCTACAACTGCCCAGAGAATCATAAAGTGTTGTGTGCTACATATTTGTTGGAGGGACCAGCCCATTTTTGGTGGAAATCAAAGAAGCCGAAGATGGAGGCTGGTGGGGCCCCAATCACATGGGCGGCCTTCAGACATGAGTTTTGTGAGAAATATTATCCTGCTCTAGCGAGATTGCGAAACCGAAAAGCATTTATGCAATTGGAACAGGGTAATAGATCAGTAGAGGAGTATGAGGCGGAATTCACACGATTATCCAGATTTGTTCCTCTTATGGTTGCTACTGAGGAAGAGAAGACGGATCTCTTTATTCAGGGTTTAAGGCAAGAGATACAGGGATCCGTGTCTGCCCATGCTTCCAAGATTTTGTTACGGCTTATAATGCTGCGGTGAAATTAGATGCTAGCACCCCGAGGAATAATCAGGGTTCTAGCAGTCAGGTACGACCAAGTAGTAAACGAAAATTTATTCAAATATCCACGGGTTCGCAATAGCAGACGGTACCACAACGAGTTGATCGTCGGCCTTATTCAGGTGAAGGGAGGGCAGGTTGTAGTAAGTGTGGGTTAACTCATGCGGGATCTTGTAATGCTGCAGACAAGATATGTTATAACTGTGGCAAGACTGGTCATCTCGCCAGAGTATGTCGTAGTGCAAATAACCCTAATATGATGCGCCCCGAGCGATCTGCTCCAGGTGAAGGAGGGGGTCAGTTGAGTGCCGGGGGACATCCTCAGGCTCGAGGTAAAGCCTTTGCCATGACAAGTAAGGCAGCGGGGGATGCCAGCACGGTGGTGACAGGTACTTTACCCATATCTGGCTATTTTGCTTATATTGTATTCGATTCTGGCTCGACGCATTCTTTTATATCATTATCGTTTGTCTGTCAAGCCCGACTTGAAATAGAGCCTTTAGGTTATGAGATTTTAGTTTCTACACCTTCAGGAGTCATATTGATGACCCGTGAAAAGGTGAAACTGAATAAAGTAGAAGTATCCGGCCAACCATTAGACGTGTTGTTAATGGTGCTAGATATGTATGATTACGATATTATTTTGGGCATGGATTGGCTGTCTGCTCATCATGCCAGAATTGATTGTTATAAGAAGGAGATGGTTTTTCACCCCTCGATGGGAAAGAGCTTCCGGTTTCAGGGTACGAAGCTGGGAAGTGTTCCCAAGACAATTACTGCTTTGAAGGCTAGGAAGTTAATTGGTCACGGTGCTGTGGCATTCCTGGCTAATGTGGTAGAAGTGGGACAAGTGGATACAGATGTATCAACTGTACCTGTAGTGAATGAATTCCTGGATGTTTTCCCTGATAAATTACCTGGTTTACCACCCGAGTGGGAAGTCAACTTTGGTATTGAACTAGAACCAAGGACAACACCTATCTCTAAAACTCCTTATAGGATGGCTCCCGCGGAATTGAAAGAGTTGAAGTTGCAATTACAGGAATTGTTGAACCAGGGATTCATACGACCTAGTGTGTCACCATGGGGAGCTCCAGTGTTGTTTGTGAAAAAGAAGGACGGCACACTCCGTCTCTGTATTGACTATAGGGAGCTGAATAAGGTGACCATTAAAAATAAGTATCCCTTGCCGCGAATTGATGACTTGTTTGACCAGCTTCAAGGGGCAGCGGTATTTTCGAAGATTGATCTTCATTCTGGTTATCACCAGATAAGAGTCAAAGAAGATGACATACCGAAGACAGCTTTTCGTACTCGGTATGGGCATTATGAGTTTGTCGTGATGTCCTTTGGCTAGACTAATGCCCCTGCAGTGTTTATCGAGCTGATGAATCGGGTATTCCAGGATTTTCTAGATTCTTTTGTCATTGTGTTCATTGATGATATCTTGGTTTATTCCAAGACAAACGATGAACATGCAGAACATTTGAGGAAGGTTTTGTTGGTTCTACGTAAACAAAGATTATATGCCAAGTTCTCAAAATGTGAGTTTTGGCTTCAAAAGGTAGTATTCCTTGGTCATGTGGTATCCAAGGATGGTATAACTGTTGATCCAACAAAGGTGGAGGCAGTTATAGGTTGGGTTCGACCAACTACAGTTACTGAGGTGAGAAGTTTTCTGGGTTTAGCCAGATATTACAGGCGCTTTATTAAAGACTTTGCAAGGATTGCCGCACCACTGACTCAGTTAACCCGAAAAGGGAAGAAATTTGATTGGAGTCGAGCTTGTGAAAGTAGTTTTCAGGAACTCAAGGAAAGATTAGCGTTAGCCCCAGTGCTTATTGTACCTGACGATACTGGGAACCTAGTAATTTATAGTGATGCCTCTATGCATGGGTTGGGGTGCGTACTTATGCAAAACGGGAGAGTTATTGCTTATGCCTCTCGGCAATTAAAGGATTATGAACGCAATTACCCAACTCATGATTTAGAATTAGCTGCTGTGGTGTTTGCTCTGAAGATATGGAGACATTATCTGTACGGTGAGAGGATACAAGTATATACGGATCATAAGAGTCTTAAATATCTGTTCACCCAGAAAGAGCTCAACATGAGGCAACGTCGGTGGTTTGAGTTGGTAAAAGATTATGATGTGGAGATCCTACATCATCCTGGTAAAGCTAATGTGGTAGCTGATGCCTTAAGTCGTAAGACAGATCACTCATCTGCAATGCTAACGAGACAACACAACATTCAGATGGAGTTTGAACGAGCCCAGATAGCTGTCTTGGTCAGGAAAGCGGCAGCTCAGCTAGCTCTTATGACTATTTGTCCGACGTTGCAGGAACAAATTATTCGGGGTCAGCAAAGAGACCTTTATTTTTCAAAAGTTGTGAGGCAACTTGAGACTGAACAAATCAAGGATTTTTGGATAACGGGTGATGGATGTTTGAAGTGGCAGAACCGAACTTGTGTGCCAAACGATGCAGAGATCAAGAGGAAGATTCTATCAGAGGTGCATGAGTCGCCCTATACTGTACATCCAGGTGCCACAAAGATGTATCAAGATTTGAAAACATGCTTTTGGTGGCCTGGGATGAAGAAAGATGTTGCTGAATGTGTGAGTAGGTGTTTAACTTGTCAACAAGTTAAGGCACCTAGACAGAAACCAGCTGGATTATTGCAACCTTTAAATGTGCCTCAGTGGAAGTGGGAAGAAGTGACTATGGATTTCATTACAGGACTACCTAGAACCCAGTTAGGGTTTACAGTGATATGGGTCATTGTGGATAGATTAACTAAGACAGCCCATTTTATACCGGGTAAGTCTACATATTCGGTTGACAAGTGGGCACAATTGTATTTAAAGGAGATTGTAAGGTTGCATGGTGTACCAGTTTCTGTTGTGTCAGATAGGGATACGCGGTTTACTTCTCGATTCTGGAAGAGTCTTCAGGAAGCCCTTGGTACACAACTGAAGTTTAGTACAGCGTTCCATCCTTAGACAGATGGACAGACAGAGAGATTAAATCAAATTCTCGAGGACATGTTGCGTGCATGTGTACTTGATTTTGCTGGTAGTTGGGACACCTACCTATATTTGGTGGAATTTGCCTATAATAATAGTTATTAGGCAACTATCCAGATGGCTCCTTTTGAAGCACTTTATGGACGGAGGTGTCGAACTCCAATTTATTCGGAGGAGGTAGGTAGTAAACCGCTATTAGGTCTAGATTTGCTACGAACGACCAATGAGGCGATTCAGAAGATTAAGAAGAGAATTTTGACCGCCCAAAGTCGTCAGAAGAGTTATGCAGATATCAAAAGGAAGGACCTAGAGTTTGAGGTAGGGGATCATGTGTTCCTGAAGATTGCACCAGTTCGTGGTGTTTTGCGATTTCGTAGAAAGGGGAAGCTTAGTCCACGTTTTATTGGATCTTTTGAGATCCTCGAAAGAGTTGGCCTAGTAGCCTATAGATTGACATTACCACCAGCGTTGGATGCTGTACATAATGTTTTTCATGTTTCGATGCTGAGGAGGTATGTTGCAGACCCTAGGCATATTCTTCATTATGAAGATTTGGAGTTAAAGGAGGACTTAAGCTACGAAGAACAGCCCATGAAAATTTTAGCACGGGAAGTGAGATCTTTGCGTAGCAGAGATATTCCCTTTGTTAAAGTTTTATGGAAGAATCGGCAAGCTAGTGAAGCTACTTGGGAAAGAGAAAAGGAGTTTAAACGAGAGTATCCATACTTGTTTAGGGAATTGGAAACTTTCGAGGACGAAAGTTCTTAAAAGGAGGGTAGAATTGTAACAACCTAAAAAAATGATAATATGTATTTTGTATTTATGTGTTGTGTGTTTGATGATGATGATAATAATAATAATAATAATAATAATAATAATAATGATAATAATAATAATAAATAAATAAATAAATAAAAACAAAAAAAAAAACGAAGCAGCTGCGTCAAGCAGCTGCTGTAAAGGGGGATGAGAGGCGACGGACGCGTAGCTGGAGGCGTGGGATGGATGAATGGATGATTAGAGGATGTGGAAGCGTATTAGGGCTTGATTAGGCTTTAAAAAGGAAGAAAAACGAAAAATGGTGATTAGCGAAAAACCCAGAAAAACAGAGGAGGAAATTTTTGAGAATTCGAGTTTTGGTTGCTTAAAATTGGACATCAATCGAGGGTAAAGGAAGAGGGGTTGTTGCTGAGGAATCATTTGAGGAAGGGGATACGGCCACGAGCTGAATCGGACGGTGATTCGAAGGTAACGAAAAACCCATATCACCGAACCTTTAAATCTCGATATCTTGATTCATACTGCATAATAAGTTATGAAATAAGGCTTGTTAGAACCGTAGTTAGAAGATCTATAAAGTTGTAGAAGAAATCAGAACGAAATTCGAGCTGTAGAGATGAAATTTTTGCTTCGGGACACAATGGGTATTAAAGGAAAAGATTTGGAAAAATTGCAGGGAGGAGAGGTTGAAGACGAGCGCGTGAAGGACACGCGAGGCGCGTGGGAGGCCGCGAGTGGAAGTGCGATTGTGCTCGGATCAGGCGCGTGAGAAACGAACCCCGACCTTGTGTTGGCGCGTGAGGGCGCGTGAGAAGGTATTTTGGCTCCCGGTTTGTCCCGTTCGACTCCTTTTGACCTGTCCTATCAAAATTGGTCTATACTTATGTTGAAATTGATAAAATATAGGTCTAATAGGAAGGAATTGTGTTGAAATACTATTAAACGTACATTCAAGGGGGAAAAGGAGTTCGCAACCAAGTAAGTAGCGTATCGACCTTTGAACTAGTTCTTAACTTGTTTTACAACATGTGAGTATGTTGTTTATCTGATTAAGAGCTTAATATGTTATGATGAGCTTTGATGATATTTAGTGTTTATTGTATATTGTGACTGCTTGCCTGTGATGTAAGCATGATATAAATGATTGTCAGAATGTTCTATGTGTTGATCATG